CCAGACCCCTAATCATTTTTGTTGCCCTCCGCTGGACTCTTTCCAATTTTTCCACAAATCTATCTACAGTTTCTAAGCAAAACCTGGCTCAACACCACATGATTAAATTCTGCCCACCTCTCTCTCAAAGTCAGAAGTGAAACCACACTGGATCAGAGAGAACTGACATGAGATTGCCAAAACAAGCAGAATATTACAGAGATGTTATTGTTTTTCAGTGACCTCATTCACTAGTCTTGGTTTCATACTAAATAATTTCTGTATGTCCAGGACAGACTGTAAGTCTCTAATATGTGCAATAGCAAAGCCACCAGTCTTTCCCCCCAAAACACTGTGGGAGCCACCATCAGATATGCAGATGAGGCAGTTGCTTTCCTCAGGCAATTGGGTCCCTCAACACAAGAGCCTTAGACTCCCTTATTCAAGGAGCATCTTGACTTAACATGATCACCTTTGAGTCCACCTTTGTGTTATGACCACATACATCAATACTCTAGCCCCATATTCAGTATCCATGTCAAAAGCTAACCTAAACATGACTAAAGTGATAGGTAGTGTGGGGTACTGGATCCACCTTTCACAGGCTCTAGTCTTTAATATACACACTAAATTGTTTTTCTGGAACAGACAGAGGTCAAAAGGAGAGAAAATGGCTGAGGGAACAATATTACGGGAGCACAGAAGATATGCAATAATACAACCCATCCCCCTTCAGGATTTCTCATAAGCCTTATGACTTAAAGGGTTGATAATAGCAAGTACTGTTGTCAGAGAGTTTAAGGGCCATGTAGGCTGCCTTCTTAGCCCCGAGCATGTAATGCTTATATAAAGAGATGCTTACAGTCCAGGTGTTTTTTCTTGGGCCCCATCACTTCATGTGTGGTTGCTTTGCAGACGGCTCTGGCTACAGCTGATCCTGTAACGCTGTACTGAGCAGCTGCGATGCGATCTGTCAGCGTCTGACCCGACATCTTCGACTAATGTTAGTGCTGCTGCCTCTTCTGCAAGCGGGGAAACACAGGAGAGGAAGGGGATGTTCCGGGTTTAATGACTGAGCGAGGGAGACCCTGTCCTTCCAGCAGCCAGGCCCTTTCCAGGGGGGACAATCCTTCCTCCCCCACCCCGTTGTGTAAGCGTTACAAGAGCCGTCACGAGAAGCTGCCCAGGGCAAGACGGGGTATTTTAGACACTGCAGAAGAAAAGCCAGCACACACACAGCGCATCCGTCCCCTCCCCACCCCGCCTCTAACCTGCGCCCCTAGCCCGACACCATCGCGGCGAACAGCTGTTGCCGAGCGGAACCCACCTTCCTCTCCACCGCCAGCCCCACTGAATGGGGAACCTGTCCCCCGCCCCCGCTCCGGCTCCTGCCAGCCCCAGGAGGCGCCAGGGAATGAATTAAATACCCAGGCGGAGCCGCTGCTACTGCAGCAAACGGGAGCGTCCATCGCCTCCTTCCCCGCGTCTCTCTGCTGGGAGATTATCACATCATTGCGCCATGTTATGCCCTCCCTGCGCCTCTCCCCAGCCCGCTCCTCCTTTACCGCTCCGGGAGACAAGGGTAGGCCGCCCATCTAAAATAGACACCAGCCCCGCTCCCCGCGTCCACCCGGCCCAGCCAAGACACTCATCCCCCTTCTCTCCAATGCGCCCCACCGGACCCCTGCACCGGCCCGAGCCCACCCGCCACCCCCAGGCCCACTGCAGCTCAGGGCACCCCCCCCGCGCCCAACAAGGATGCTGCGGCTGCAGCGCGCTGACCCGGCCGCGGGCAGTAGCGCTGGGGCGGCAGCAGCAGACCTGTCACCGCGTCCTTCTCTCCTCCTCCTCCCCGCAGCGCTGCCGCTCCCGGGGAGGGCACCCGCTCCTCTCACCGCGGCGCCGAGCCCCCTCCTCCGCCGCCGGCTGCCCGCGGGGCGCAGGGATGGGATGGGTCGGGACAAGGCTCCCGGCCCCAGGTGCTGGGCGGCCCCGCCCGCCTGCCCGCAGCGCACGGCCGGGAAAACGCCGGAGCTCCCGCGCCCAGGGGCCGTCGCTATTTCTAGCCTAATCCCGCGGCGCTACTACTGCTACCGCCGCCGCAGGGATGGATGGATGGATGTACCAGCCCGACGCGCCGCCCTCGCTGTCTCCGCCGCGCTCACCCTCCTGCTCCTCCCGGCCCCTCCTCAGGTTTGTGGCTCGGCGGAGTCAGGTGACCCGGCGCGGACAAACCGGGACGTGCGGTCCGCTAGGTGCCGTAGGGAGAGCCCCCCGCGCCGCGCTCTTAAAGGGGACACCCAGCAGCTTGCACCGCCAGCGCCCGGCCGGCCCCCGCCCCCTAGGTGAGCTACCAGGCAGGCACAGCCCCTCCGCCCGCTCTCAGGGCAGCTCAGCTTCAATTCCCCTCGGCTGTGTGGTTTTCTCTCCGTTTTTTCCCCTTGTTTCTTGCACCATCGTCTCTCATTTCCCTCGGCTCTGTCCTTGCCTGGTTTGCCTCTTTCATCGTCTCTCTGGCTCTCTCGCCCTTTAAATGGGGGTGGGGTATTTTTCAATTTGGAACGTTTCATTGTCAGTTTGCAAAACAATTAGTATTGAAAATAATTTTTTAATGTTGAAATTCATTAGAATTCCAGGTCCTTTTGAGGATGGTCAGGTCATATTTGTTTTTCTGACTCCCTCCTCCCACACAAGAGTTTTTAAACTGCCGATATTTAGACTGTCAATTTAAGCCCCTTACAGCTGATCTACAGTTACCATAAGAACTGTACTGCCATACTGGATCAGACTAATGTCTATCTAGCCAGTATCCTGTTTTCCGATAGTAGCCAGTGCCAGATGCTTCAGAGGGAGTGAACAGAACAGGGCAATTTTGAATGATGCACCCCTTGTTTTCCAGTCCCAGCTTCTGGAAGTCAGAGGGGGTTGCAAGGTGTTGCATCCCTGACCATATTAAGTTCATCAATGGCTATTAGCTATCTTCCATGAACTTATCTAATTTTTTTTAACCCAGTTATACTCTTGGCCTTCACAACATCCCCTGGCAATGAGTTCCACGGGTTGACTGTGTGTTGTGTGATGAAGTACTTCCTTATGTTTGTTTTAAACCTGCTGCCTATTTTTCATCAGGTAACCCCTGGTTCGTGTGTTATGTGAATATGTACATATTCACTTTCTCCATACTATTCATGATTTTATAGACTTCTATCATCTCCACCCTTCTTCACCTCATTTCAAAAATGAACAGTTCCAATCTTTTTAATCTCTCCTTTTATGGAAGCTGTTCCATCCCCCAATCATTTTCATAGCCCTTTGTACTTTTTCTGATTCTAATATATCTTTTTTGAGATGAGGCAAACAGAACTGCATGCACTATTCAAGGTGTGGCATACCTTGAATTTATACAGTGATGTTATGATATTTTCTGTTTTTTTATCTATCCTTTAATGGTTCCTAACATTGTTAGTTTTTTTTTTTTTATTGCTGATGCACATTGAGCAGATGTTTTCAGAGAACTATCCACAATGACTCCAAGATCTCTTTCTTGAGTGATAACAGCTAATTTAGATCCCATCATTTTGTATGTATAGTTGGGATTATTTTTTCTACTGTGTACTTACTTTGTACTTATCAACATTGCAGTTACACTACAGAGGATCCTCTTTTAGAGGTGCAATTAAAAGGTCTTTCCAGAGCAGCTTCCTGTTATCTTTTTATCTTATATTTGGCACTAATGGATGCCACGTTATCCACAGATTTTGGAGATTAAGATTTGTGATAAAGCACAGGAACTGAGCAAATTATTCCAAATTTCTCCCTCACAACTTTAGTAGTGTATAGTGCTTTAAAAAAATTAAAAGCCTTTTTAAAGAGATTTTAATTCAGTCAATGTATGTGACTATGAGATTCCACTATTAACATTTTTGACTCATTGATTATAGAACTGAGTAAGAAATATGGACTCCAGATTAATATACTAAATTTAATGCAAGTTTGGAAAAGTATCATATTGGCTAGAGTAGAATTAGAATTTTTTCTAAGACAACTATTCCAAACAAGTAAGAGAAGATGACAGATAGAATTAAAGGTGAGAGCAGTTAGCAAATTGAACAAGATAATGAAATCCCAGCAAAAGGCTAATTGAAAACAAAATGAAAAACATCTTATAGTTCCAAAGAAATTAAAACAGCAATTGATTAGACATCATATGCGATGGTGACAAACACTGTACAATACTACAAGTAGATAGAGGGTAGAGAAGACCTTTGCCACAAGGGGGCCAAAGGGACTTTTAACATAGTGGAAACAAACAAGCATTATCAGAGATTAAAACAGAAATGCAAAGTGGGCTTTTCAGAATTAAGGTGGTGATATTTGGCTCTGAATTTGATTTCATCATGGTGAGACTTTCATCTTCTAGTGGATTAAATGAACCTATACAGATATTATAAGGGTTATATTGGTGTAAATTTATTGTTTGGAAATTCGACATGCTTAAACTCATTTGTGTGGCATCAGAACATTTTTAAGCAACCAGTTTCTCCAGGGTGTGACTACTGCACAGACTTAAAGCAGAAAATGGTCACTGGCTAAGACTGAAGCTGAACCTGATGGTTTAAGCAAATGCAATATAGGTAAAAACATTGAAGGGTTTCTATTATTTTTAACTGATTTTAAGTGGATGAGATTAGTGACTGTTTCATAAAATATATATCCATACATATTAAAATGAAATTCAATAAAGACAAGTTCAAAGCACTACACTTAGGAAGGAAACAATCCAAAGCTTAACTACAAAATGGAGACTAACTGGCTAGGCAGTAGTACTACTCAAAAGAATCTGGTGGTTTTGAATTCTAATCGTGTCCTTCAGAGTGCTACTAGCTAGGCCTCATCTTCAAATTTTATAGCATACACTCTACTCCATTATCCAAGTCATTAACAAAAATATTGAATAGTACCAGACCCAGGACCCTAATAAGTACATCTTCCCATCTCTCAAATACAAGATAATAATCCTTTACTTTTACCCAGATTATGAACTAATGGTTTCAATGATGTTGTACCATGTCTATAGTGCACTACTGTTTCAGATGTCAGTTGAAGGTTTAAAATAATTTGTTGTGGATTTTAAAACTGCATATAAATCAAATTGCCAGTATGTGTCATTACTAAGAAAATCAAAATGCAGGAAATCCTGAAAGCTAGATAGCAACACATATGTTGTCATAAATAATATAAATTACTGTTCTAAATTTCATGTAACAATTAAATAAAATTCTGCCTTCAAGTGGAAAATTTCATTGCATCATTGAAACACCCTGAAGTGTGGATCTTCAGAGATCAGGTATACATAAATTCCTCTAGGGAGAGGGGAAGTAAAGGCAGCTGTAAAAATTAAAAAATAATATACAACAAATGGACAAAAGGGAAAGTTGATAGTAATGAATATAAATCAGAAGTTAGGGATTGTAGAAAAATGATAAGAGAAGCCAAGGGACACAAGGAGAAATCTATCACCAACAGAGTGAAGGACAATAAGGAGGAGTTTTTAAAATATATTAGGAACAAAAAAATTATGGACAATGGTATTGGTCCATTACTAGATGCAGGGCCGGTTCTAACTTTTTTGACGCCCCAGGCAAAAAAGAAGAGCCCCGCCCCGCCGTACCCCTCCCCGTGAGTGCCACACAACCCAACCCGCCCCCCCAGCGCCACGCCACCAAAATCCCCACCCCTGAGCACCACGCCACCCAAAGCCCCACCCCCCCAGCGAAGCACCACCTGAAGCCCCGCCCCCTCTAACCACCGCACC